GTTCGATTCCCGGTCGGGGCACATGCCCGGGTTACCGGCTCCATCCCCAGTCGGGGGGCGTGCAGGAGGCAGCTGATCAATGACAACTCTCTTCATTGATGTTTCTACCTCTCTCTCTCTCCCTCTCCCTCCCTCTTTCTGAAATCAATAAAGGTATATTTTAAAAAAAAAAAAGAAATAAAGCACAGGGCCCATGCTGGGTCAGTTCTTGGACCTGCTGGTACTCATAGACTGAACTGTCCCACACCCTTCCTGTCTCAGAATCAGCATCTCCCCGCTCCCCCTCACCCCCAGTAAAAAAATACTTCCCCAGTGTGGGGCAGGGCCACCGACGGGCTATGACTTCTGCTCTTACTTGAGATGATTTCTGAAGGTACTGAACTGACATTAAAAAGCATTAAGTTACATGGTGAGAAAAGTTACTCCCTTTTCAATTTTCTTTCATTCTCTCTCGGGGGCTGGAATATTCTTAACACTCTAAGGCTTGTTAATTTCCCCTTTGTAACTAAGAGCAGGTCTCAGGCAACTGTGTCAGCTGGAAATAAAAGAACATTTGTATTTATTTTTATGGTTACTTACATTGTGTTTATTTTTATGGTTACTTTTCTATTTACGGCAGACCATCTGGGCTTCCCATGTCCCACAGTGATCAGTTTTGAGTGGTACATTTTTAAATGCTGACTGTTAAAAAGTGAGTAGATTTTTTTTTTAACATGAATAATGGCCTGAGTTAAATGATGCCGGTGATGCCCATCCAGGGACCACACGTTGAGACCGACCGCCAGGTGCATTGAATAACTTCACATGATACTCAGCTGGGAAGCCTGCTAGATGCTAATGCCTGGGCCTCAGCCCAGACCAATTAAATCAGAATCTCCACGGGGGGGCGGGAGATGGGGGCAAGCAGGCATCTGCATTCACTGAAACATCCCAGGCGTTTCAGGTGCCCAGCGGAGGTGGAGATCCACTGGCCTAGAGGACCCAGTGCCACCGGCACCTGCGGGGGCCGGGGGGGCATCGCCCTCACCGCCTCTGGCTCCGCTCTGCCGCTGCATTTTCCCTTCCCTCTCTCTCCGAGCTCCCCTCTTCCAGCTTCCCCACACCTGCCCCTGTTGGGGACACCCTCAGCCCTGCTGCTTGGTTTAAGATGTTGCCGGCACCACACAGCCGCGTTAGGAAATTTCCACACGGTGCTGTTCTTCATGGCATTTGCTTGCCAGTTCTGAACATCCCTCTGGGTTGTGTTCTGGGCCAGGAACTCGGATTAACAGCCGTGAGCATGATCGTTACTGGGCTCTCCCTGCGCGCCGATCCCTGTGCTGAGCCCTTTGTGTGTGGACCCCGTACGATCACAGTGAGGTACAGTTTTCCAGATGGAGAAATGCGAGGCTCAGGGCGGCTCACCCTCTTGCCCGGAGTTACACCCCGGGAGGCGGCAGAGTCGGGGTTCGGGCCCAGGCTGCCTGGGCCCCGCATCCTGACCAGGTGGGGCCCCAGGCGGGTTGCTCCCCACCCTGATCCGGGTGTTCGGGCACACTGTGCTCCGTGCCACGCGAGAGGGAGATTTGGACCCGCTGTCTGCTTCAGTGACATTTGGAAATGGATAGCTTCTTTAAATGTTCAGCTTCAATGATGATGTCCCCGTAGGAAGCCCCCGGCTTTAAATGCTATTGAGATTTTAACCCATCGCCATTCCGAAGAGATGGGCCTGAAATGACTGGCTGTCACAGCGCCGGCTGTCAGGCCTGCGCACTGAGATGATGGGGCCGCACCCTCAGTTACTGCGCAGCGAGCGGGACTGTTGGGGGCCCCGGTGGTGCCCCGTGAGCTCGTCTGGGGTGTAGCTCAGTGTTCGCCATGCGGGGCTTTTTCTGCCCTTTGGAAAGTATGATTCTCATTCCAGTGCTTAACTTCAGAGGACCTTTGGCTCATGTCCACTCCTTGTGGGAGCTTCATTTTTATGCTCAGACGTTTCATCTTTGTGATACTTGCATTGCCGTTTCAGGAGACCAGCCCTTCTGCATCACATTAAAAACCTGTCTGAGTTTAGGGGAATCCTCGGGCAGCCAGGCCCCCCGGAGACCACCCGCCTCATTGGAGGTGCTGAAGCGGTGGGCAGTGGGCGTGAGTCCGAGACACTGTGCCCGCGGCAGAGTGGGCGCTCGCATCGTGGAATCTCTTTTCCCCTCCTTCATTTCCCAAGCCACCGACTGTATAAAGCCCAGAGTTCCTAATTTCCCTTAATTCTCCCAGCCACGCTGCGCCACTGGGCATATGCCCCATTGGTTTTTCTAGCTGAGGAAGCAGAGGCCCGTGAACGTGGGCTTCCCGGGCTGGGGGCCCGCGGCGAAGGGCGCGGGATTTGAAAGCAGGCCCGCTGACTGCGCAGCTCATACATGGCCTACCCGCTCTCCGCTCGATAAGGGTCGGTTCTCTTTTTTGTAACATTTCATCTTTCTTCCTTCTTGCTTCACAGTCCAAGATGCGAAAAATCTAATCCCCATGGATCCGAATGGACTTTCAGACCCCTATGTGAAGCTGAAACTCATTCCCGATCCCAAGAACGAAAGTAAACAGAAAACCAAAACCATCCGCTCTACTCTCAACCCCCAGTGGAACGAGTCCTTCACGTTGTAAGTTCTGTCTTCTCTCCTTGACCCAGCGGCCTCCCTGTGCACCACAGAGCCTCCCTCCTCGTGGTTAGAGACACCGAGGCAGGCTTGGTACAGACGTCGCCGAACGTTGCCTTGTTCCTGAGACTTTCGCAGCCTGCTGCCAGGGGGGCGGCTGGTGTCACTCCAGTTTGATGGGCAGTAACTTGGTTTATTTACCAAGAGTTACATGATGCCAACCCCCCAAATTATCACCCAGATCTATCTACTCTGTACAAAAATTCTGTTACGTTATGGGTGATATAAGAACATGTAAGGTGTGTCCCACCTCTTGCTGAACTTAGGATCTTTTGAGGGTTAGGGGAAGATGTAAGAATTTGAATAATTTTTAAAACTCATAGAATAAGTGAGTAACTTAGATGCCGCCGTTGCCACTATGAAATGGGAAAATCACCCTTGCCTTGAAGCAGGGAAGACTTCTTGGAGGAGGTGGCATTTAAAGTGGGTCTTGAAGGAATCCAGGATTTCAGAGAGAGAGATGGTAGAAGGGGAAGAGGGGAGGGGGTCGTGGGGTGAAGGAGTGGCGTGAATAAGCGGTGAGAAAGCACAGACAAGTGGTCTTCTTTGTGGGGCACCATTTCCCTGTGGACAACCAGGAAGGTAGCTCTCAGTCATACAGAACAGAGGCCACAAGCTTTGTTCTGCAAAGGGCCGGATAGTAAATATTTTAGACTTTATGGGCATACAGTCTCTGTTACACATATACAACTCTGCTGTTTTAGCAGCCATAGACAATATGTAAACACATGGCTATGGCTGCGTCCCAATAAAACTTTATTTATAAAAACAAGCAGTGGGCCGGATTTGGCCTGTGGGTCATAGTTTGCTAATCCCCAGTTAGAACATTGGCTGCCAGGAGGCTGGTACTTGGTTGGCAGTGGGGAGTCACAGGAAGAGAATTTGAATATATTTTCTGTTTTTAATCTCAAGCTCAGATCATGAGCATGGGGTATCTCCCAGGAAACCGTAATCGGGATAACCACATGTATGTATGTGTGTTTGTTTGTAGCAAATTAAAACCTTCAGATAAAGACCGACGACTGTCCATAGAAATCTGGGACTGGGATCGGACAACACGGAATGACTTCATGGGGTCGCTTTCCTTTGGCGTTTCGGAGCTGATGAAGATGCCGGCCAGCGGATGGTAAGGAAGCCCACGGTTACCGCGTCCGTGTCAGCCGAGGGCTGGTAGTTTCAGAGCTTTAGAGCACGTAGGGATTCGGAAACAAGCCCGTTTCAAGCGACCGTTGGACACGTAGTTACCTGGCTGTCCTCTCCCCGGGGGATGCGTCTCGGAAACAGCTGGGCTGGAGGCTGAAGGAGAAAGGTTGCTGAACCTGGGACCTTGACTCTTGTCTCCCCCGTCTCTGAAAGGTACAAGTTGCTTAACCAGGAGGAAGGTGAGTACTACAACGTGCCCATTCCAGAAGGAGATGAAGAAGGGAACGCGGAACTCAGGCAGAAGTTCGAGGTGAGGACCCCCGCAGAATCCCCCGAACCCCGTTCCTTGGGAAAGCTGAACTTTGGGCAGGGCCGGATCTCTGGGGTCACCCTGCTGCAGGGCAAAGAAATAATTTAAATGCTGATCTTTCTCTTTGTTCAAAACCCCATATATTACCTAATCCACTGTTCTTTGCAAGCTGTTGACATTCCGTGTCTGTTAGCATTTAGAGAATGGAAAGGAAATGTCCCAGGAAAGGACATGGTTGATTTCTGTGTTAGGAATTGGTTCGCTCCTCTTGGGGCGGTGGGGGGACTCTGGGTGCAATGTCCTCATTAGGAGGGGGGGCTGTGCTCCTCCCAATGGCAGGAGGGCATTCTGGCCTTCCCGCGGGAGTCTGTATGGGTGTGATGGGTTCGCGTCTTAATTTTTGCTCTAGATCGTTGGAAAATGCCAGCTCTTGCCCTCCCCCCCAGGTTCATGTCTCCTCTCTGCTCCCTTTCCCTGCGCCTCCCTCCCTCCTCGCTTCGCTCTCTTCTCTTCTCTCCTACGTCTCTCTAGTTACCATGAAGCTTCTCGGTCTTTAATGAGCATTCTTTCCTCCAAGCACCTGCCTCAAGTTCCCGGTCACACCTTTTCATTTGTTCTGTTTCTCGGACCACCTGCATTTTGGGTTTTTGAGGGATACACGTAACAGCCGATTCAGTCTATGGAACTGGCCCATTCCTTTTTTTATTTTTTTTATATCTATCTTTATTGATTTCAGAGAGAGGGAGAGAGAGAGATAGAAACATCAATGATGAGAGAGTCATTGATCGGCTGCCTCCTGTAGGCGCCCCCCCACCCCCGACTGAGGGTCGAGCCTGCAACCCGGGCATGTGCCCTGACCGGGAATCGAACCGCGATCTCCCGGATCCTAGGTGGATGCTCAGCCGCTGAGCCAGGCCGGCCGGGCCTATTCCTTTTTGAATCTTCCTGCCGCTCAGGCTCACCAGGATTCCCTGAAATTCCCCCACCCTAATGAAACACACACGTACACACACAAACTCGCAGGCGGCTGCTGAACTGTGATCGAAATGTTGGCACGAAGGGGATGCTGGCCTCTTCCTCCTTCTGTCGTTTCTGTCTCCCAAATAAAATTTGGGATGCGCCGGAGGGAGGAACAGCGTTGGGGCATCAGGATGGCGTCACCGCTGGTAACGTCTGAGGCCTTAGCTGTGCTGACGGAGAAATATTAACCCACTTGCAGTGCTTCATTTCCATGTGCTCCCTGGTGAGTAATCTTCCTGTTTTTCTGGGCAGCGAGTCCAGCTTTTTATAAAGGTCAGAGTTCCGAACTAAAAAAAAAAAAAATACCAGACGAGGGCTCGAGGCCAGAAGTGCAGCATCTCTCTCCAGAGGCTGGTTAGAGGCCGTGTGCGTGCTGCGCTGGTTGCCGTCCTGCCCCCGGGGGAGCCGCGCGTTCACGGCGCAGCCCCAGCCCGGGCCAGCGGCCCCGGGACAGGCCGTGTCCTC